AGCCATCTAAGAAGACTTAGGGTAGAGGTAGTTAACTAGGAGCTTAGTTAACTGTTTAGCGCTGTGGGAACTATAGCAAGACTAGACATAATACACAAATGTACTAGGAGGGTGCAGAAATATCTTCTAAATCTAATATAAGTATATAGTATACTAGGTTACTATTTAATAGTAAGTAGTTGTAGTTGTAGTAACTTGTGTTAGTTGTGCTAAGAGAAAATGGCTGGTTTGGTGATATAGCTGGCTCGGTGATAATCTACGTTATAGATAAGAAGGGCTTTGCTATTAGAGTGCTACATCGGGAAAGTTTTTCAAAATTTAGCCCAGACTGGCTGTTGCTAACAGTCGTGGCATGGTTGTGCAACAGCTGTTTAATAGCCCCAACAGCCCTAATTTGCGCCTAACAGCCCTAATTTTGCGCTAACATTACTAACAGCTAAAACACTAAGTGCCTATATTTAATAAACTTAAAATAAAATTACAATGTTGTTATATAGCTGCCCTTAGTTCTGCTAGCACTAGCATTAAATATTTAAAAATTACTAAATTTTACATAACGTGCTTCACAAGCGAGCGGCGCACCCAAGCGAGCGGCGCACTCTCCCCACCAAAACGCTTGCGCAGCGACAACACGTAATGCCTCAACAACACCAAACCCAGAGACTCTATACTGAAGCTGACGTACAGCTTGCTATCTTAGATCTTTAAAAAGAGTAGATTAAGAGTATATGGCTTGCTAAGAAAGTCTATAAGGTCCCTTAAACTACAATACAACAACAATATAACAGAACACGCTCTTAACGCGATTGCAAGCCAAAATTAAAACGCCTTACAAAGCTAGAAGAGGAGGCAATTATACAGCGTATACTTGAAGAGAGTTTACGTAGAATACCGCCCTTAAAGGTGCACGTACGAGATATGGCTGATAGACTGCTGAGAGAGCGTGGTGGGAAGCCTACAGGCAAGAACTAGGTTAATAACTTCATTAAGCGTACACCAGAGCTGCGAACGCGATGGAGCCGTCTGTATGATTGCTAGCGAGCTGCCTGCAAGGACCTAGCGATTATCTAGCCATAGTTTAGCCTAGTTTAATTAACAAAGGCAAAGTATAGTATTATAGATAAGGACACCTAGAACTTTAATAAGTCTAGCTTTATAATAGGCAAGATATCCTCTTAGCTTGTTATTATAGGCTTAGAGAAACCTAGGAAATAGAAGAAACTATAACCTAGTAATTATAAGTAGGTTACCCTAGTATAAGGTATTACTACAACAGGGCACATAATCCTACCCTTCCTTATCTTTGCAGGCAAGGTCCTTATCTCCTCCTAGTTTACTAGTCTACCTTGCAACTAGGTTGTTATAGTCTCTCCTACTGGCTAGACTAATAACAACATTGCGCTGGTGTGGCTTAAGCATTTTGACGTCTATACAAAGGCGTCCTCTGCTGGGGCGTATAGGCTGCTCATTATTAATGGTCATAAGAGCCACTGCTCGATAGAATTCCAGGACTACTGCAAGGAGAACAAGATTATCACTCTCTGCATGCCACCACACTCATCACACATCCTGCAGCCTCTTGACGTTGTCCCCTACTCGCTGTTAAAGCGCCACTACAGCAACAGGATCTTGCTCTTAGCACGCAGCTGCATCTACTATATTAACAAAGAAACCTTCCTCCTAGCCTTTAAAGCAGCTTTTAAGAAGACGTTTACATTAGAGAACATTCGCGCAGGGTTTTAAGGCGCTGGACTAGTCCTACATGACCCTAAGGTTGTGTTATTAAAGCTTAATATACAGCTGCGCACGCCAACGCCACCTGCACTAGGCACTGTCGCCTAGGAGGCGCAAACACCGCGCAACGCCTGCGAGATAGAGGCGCAATCCACGCTGATTCAAAATCGCATACAAAACTATTAGGGGTCTCTAGCAAGTTTATTAGATAAGCAGGTTAAGCAGCTAAGTAAAGGCGCTTAGCAGATAGCTTATAATATAGTGTTAGTGCAGGAGGAAATAGGCTGCCTTTAAGACGCTGTTAACACGCTTACAAAGTGCAAGACCTATAAGAGGCAGTACATACACACAGAGGAGACCCTAACAGTTAGTAAGGTATCTAACTTAATTACTAAAAAGGAGGGTAGTAGTTATAAGGACAGCAAGACGCCTGCGAAGAGGGTGCGCGCAGAGAGGCGCTGCAGCTGTTGCAGCGAGATTGGGCATAACTCCCGCACCTGCAAGGTAGAAATAGAGGATGTAGATAATAGCAATGCTTATAAATAATATTATCCTGTTATGTATATTATAGGAATTTGTGATGGTGTTGCACTACGTCGCGGTGCGTGCGCTGCGCTGGAGAAAGTGCGCCGCTCGCTTGGGTGCGCCGCTCGCTTGTGAAGCACGTTACAGATAGAGCAAAATTGTAGCTTTAAAATAAGTAAAAAATAATTATTGTAGGCCTACTATAACACAAGTTATAGAGTGTTAAAGGCTTGTTTGTTAAAGGTTTGTATTTTGAAGTTGCAACAGCACACCATAGCAGCTGGAGCTGCGCCAGCACACAATGTATCAGCTGTAGCTGCAACAGCACACAACATAGCACCTGCTAGCAAACACACACACAAACACACACAAAACAGCAGCGAAACAGGAGCTTGAAGAATAGGCAGGCCTAGGTGTAAAATTCTTAGTTTACCTACTATATTTGAATAATATTCTTGTATTTTCTAATATTTAGGCTACTAGAGCCCTAGCATGTAAAGTTATAAGACTTTGTTCTTATAATCTTTCTCTAGCGTATTTCCCTCTTAGGTATAGCGCTATGCTTACCTAAGCATTACTATTGTAATCTCTAAGAAGAGAGGATTAGAATGGTGTGCTTACGAAGCCTGTATCTCCTCTCGTTCTTAAGATATGCTGTTCTCTATTTTTAGTAACTAGAAATGTTCTA